GAGGAAAAAAAATCGCGGATTGATTGAAAGTGATTTATATTAGAAAATCGGGTCACGTTTGAGTCGGGCAACTTATATTAGCCGCTACATCACACACATCGCAGTACAGATTACTGTGACATATTATGTGGAAAAATCACGTTACTCATCCCTCTGCGCTTTCATCCACTAATGGAATGTTAAGAGTGATCGAATGGCCCGGAAGCACAAATTTACACAAAGGTGTAAAAATACGCGTCGCAAGTTACGCCGATTTATCTCCCGGTTGTGTCGCGGCGCGGTGTTACAAATTGTGTTACGGATCTCTCAGCGATTTCGGCCGGGGAATGAGCGATGAGGGGGTTGAAATTCTGTCTCGCGCGCGACGCCTGGTCGCGCGACCGATCGCGGTGTGTAGCTACGACGAATGGGAAGACGGGGGCGAGAAGGGTGATGAGCCCCGTGTCGGCTCCAACGAGAAAATTCGCGGCAACGCGACGAGTAATTATCGTCCGTCAGCCGCGGAGTTGTTGCGCGCGGTCGGGTATATCGATTCTTCAACCGGGTAGAGGTAGAGAAAAGTAACCGCGGCACGTCGGTATGACTGCAAAAGGCCGCGCGAGGAGTGGGAACCTCCGCGCATCGTGTCCAGGTTCCGCGGCATTTTTTCGCGCGTTCCACGTAGACAAAAAAATGTGGAACACAAACTTTCCCTCCCCCCCGTTGCGACCCCCGCGTGCCCCGCGCGCCCGCCCCGGCCGTCCCGCGGTCGATGCCGGGCCGAGCGCAATGGTGGTCGTTTATAGTTTCTTTAGTTTCTTCAAAAAGAATGACGTGTTCATCGGCTATGTATAGTGACACAGCGACATTAACGTTAAAGTATCACATACAGGGCATTACGATACGTCTCAGCGCGCGAGGTGTTCGGGGAAAATCGTTCGGGAGAACGACCGGGTGAATCCCGTGGGAACGGCGATTTCGTGTTCCGGGATCGTTCGCGGCGCACGCCTCGATACTCTCGCGCCGGGTACGCGCGAGGATGATAGATGTCGATATCGCGTTGAGAAAAGTTCGCGAAAACTCCGTCGACTCGCGCGAATCGATCCGGAAACGAGTACGAGCCGAGTAATATTGAGCTGAAGCGTAATTAAGCCGAAATTCCGTTTTATCGCGATTACATTAGCAATTCGCTGATACGATACAACTGTCCTCAATCTATTTATGTAGATCAGAAACAGAAGAAGCTCTTTTTCCTTCAAAATTATGATACATGTAAGTAAAATACTACAAGAAGAATAGAAAGTGCAATTTTATTTCTGAGAATTCGAGGATATTCTTATTTTGTGAAATATATTTTTATTTTTAAGATTCCTTAATTTCGCAGATTCTTAAACAATTCCAATTTTTTTTAGGTAGTTCTGTTTTTAAAGTTCGAATTTCAATTTCTTCGAACTTTCGAAGTTCGAGAGCTCTTATTAGCGAATCGATATCCAACGGGAAACCAATGATCCAAATGTGGGGACTTAAAACACCACGCGACCGTTTCGCTACAGCTCTGAAAGAGCGAAACGGGCACGAAACTCACAGGGGAAGAGAGAGAGAGGGGGGGGGAGGGGGTGAGGGCTTGTTAATTTAATGGTGGCGAAGGTGCAAGCGCCGGCTACGTCGCGGCAACGAGTCGGCAACATTACCGCGTTTCTACCTTGGGGTTCTATTACCCTTATTGTTAAACTTAGAGTTACTGTGAACTGCGGAGTGAACTATAGACCGCTTCTCTGTTGTCGCAACACTCGACGGCGACTGCGGCGCGGGCCACGTGGCTGCAGGTGTGTGGCTCCGCGGGGACGCGTGCGAGCGGCCCGTCAAACGTCGCCGACGAGCAACCGGGTGTGCATTCCGCGCCTTTCGTCAAGCTCGCACCGAAATTTCGGTCGGGCACGACCCGCGTCATCGACCCCCGATCCCTCCTCCCTTCCCACCGGGATCTCACCCCCTTTCCCCGTCCCTCTCTCACTCCCGCAAGTCCGTCGCTCACGCCCGCGAAATTCGTCGACGTCGTTGACGTTTGCCGGAACCGGAAAAAGATCTGTGACCGCGATTTTCCGCAATTACGTACACGAATCGCGCGTCGTGGACGCGACCCCGAACTAGGCGAAACTACAAGGAAGTGAAACTAAAATGATGTTATAGTGAATAATGCATGGGAATCATGGTAGAAGTTACACGTATGACGAGCCACTCGAAAATTTCGCGATGAGTCAGCTTTGGGTTTACTACTATCGTGAACTTGTTTCTTTTTTTCTTTTTTATTCGACGCGATTTCCACGGTGATCTTAATCCGAGCGAACGAAGCGCGCCGCCGCGTAAAACCGCGCGTCGAGATCAATTGTTAATTAGAGAATCATTTATGCAGGCGTAATGGACAAGACGTGTGTTTGTCACGGATTACGTCATATCAGATGGTAATAAAAACGGTACTCCTACGTGTCGTTACGTCGGAGAAGTAATACAATGCAATACACGCGGATAGATTAACCCCGAAGTCGGCGTTGTACACACACCGCGAGTTATTACTACTGTATCCGTGTGCATCGGGCACGCCGTGTGTTGAACATGCGACGTGTTGTTTGGCGTTTCGTGGAAGTCGCCCTGTTATCGGAGACCCCAAGCTTATTGCAACTCGCTATTTCAAATCCATTCGCGTACTTATTATTTAATACACAGGGTATCGCTCTCGCTCTATTTTTTCACAAGTTCTCGCGATAAGACAAAACACAAATCTAAATTAAATTTAATCACTGAATGCCTCAAAGTATCGAATTTGAAGATCGACGCGTTTATTCGCGATTTGAAAAGGGGGAGATTTAATTTTGTAGAAATTAACGTTGAAAATGTCTTCAAGAATTATTCTCGATATTAAGAAAAGAAATAAAACTCTTATTGTAGATACTATAAAATACTCTTCGATTGGCTCGAGGTCTGTACTTTACTGGCAATCTGACTAAATTATACGCGTGTATAGTTCGCAAGCAATAAACGTTCATTATTGATCAATACAATCTCTTATAAACAATCGTATACATCTATAACATCTATATAACGTCTTGCCCATAATAAAAGTCGTGAAAAATCGTGACCGAGCGTCAATCGTGAACAATGTGATTCTCGAAGAAGCTGGGCTACGCCAATTCAGGAGGCGATCATTAGATATAATCGATAAACGGAATGAGCGGTCGCTCATGTTTTTCGATCTACACCGATACGGACAGGCGAGCGTATTATGTTATTACGGCGTGTCGAGACGTACGGGATAGAATTTCGGAAAAGCTGCCATATCGAGTGACCGGGTCATCCAATCAGACGCGGAATCAGTTCTCCTCGTGCAATTTGGCATCGAACGAATTCGGCTTAATCCAGTATAGTTTCATCCGGGCGATATCAAACGGCAGAAAGAAAAGCGCGACATCGAATCGCCGTTGGCGACTCGATTTTTTGCAATTTGCCTTGTACATCCCCGAATTGTTATACCGATTATTCATTGGACTTCGTTTCTGGTTTATATCCCTGATATAACGTAGAACATACCACTCGCATAATTGAATAATGTCATAATTCTCTATCATTCTTTATTTTTTTTTTTTAAGACAAGCGTACTTGCATTTAACGAGTCAAATCGAGAAAAAAGTGAGATTGTATTGAATTATTGCGAACTGGAAAAATAAGAGGCCAATCAACTCGAGTTAACTCAAAGAGGCCACAAGAAACTTACTTACAACTTAAATTGGTATAATGATATGCTATCGTTAATTATTAATTGTATACAAAGCCTGTTAATTTTAAAAGCATCGTGACGCCAGATTAAATATTAAACAATGTTTTATTGATTATTTCAATGATTTCACGTGATGTATCGCGAATAATTAATAATTGCAGCATTCATGCATGACGTGCAATAGAATGCCCTGCGTCTATAGATGCAGCAACGTCCTTTATCCGTTGCGGAATAATTTTCTTATACGTAGGCGGAATATTTTGATTGAGAATGCCGCGACGCATATCGAGCGAAGTTGACGAAGTTGTAAGACCTGGCCGCGCGGCTTACGTCGACATTTCGCGCTTCGCAGAAATCTTTGCAACTTTTTCAAGGATCCTCTTCGAGCCGCGCGGCACCTCGCGCTCGTGCCGGCGGTACGTTAGAAAACATTTTTTTCTCGGAAGCCGAGAGCTTTATACACGTGTGTGAGATCGGTCGCGTTTAAAAATCGCATTCGTGCGGCAAGGACACTCGCGTTCTCTAGATCGTTCTTGATTATTCGATCGCGGCTCGGCCGAGCTGTGCGCCGCGCAGGAACACTCGCGACGTTTCTCTTGGAAATTCTCCTCGCGAAATACTCGTGTGCTCCGCGTCGAGGATGCACCGAGGAGAAAGTAGAAACGTGAGGTCAGTGATAGAAACCGGTATAACATCGATGAATCTAATTTGCCATGCTGTAACTTGCGCTAATTGTTGCGCTTCTGTTATCGCGAATGCATCTAGAATTATCGTACTAAAATGATGTGAATCATCACACGTTCGAAAGCTTTACAATATATTTATATTTAAATGTTACGCGTTTCTTAGATATTTTTGTATTTTATTCTGGTTTCGTAATCGGGACTATTGATTGAATGATATCATTATTTTACAGACAATTTTTAGACTTTTAATAAACTGTTAACGACTCGGGAACATTTTAGATTTTCGCTATTTGAATTGTCTGTCGAAAGTCTCGGAGTATTCAGTGAAGAAATCAGACAATTAGAACGATGACATATAGACATAGTCACGTGTCAGTCACGCTTATTACATCGATGTACGTCGAATTACTGGATCTCTCGATATCGCTCGTGTAATATGAAACCAAAGCTTCTGAACGTCAAAGCGCGAAAATGCGGAGAACAAAAGAAATTAATGCGATTTATCGAAACACAAAGTGCAAGCAGAATTGGAGATTTTTGCGAGTGAGTGTTAGCGGACTCACCGGGTTCGGCGAAAGTGATGATCTCCGAAGTTCTCGCGTAGAAGTCGTCTAGCTCCTCTTGAACGTCGTAGCCCTGATAGGATTTGGCGGTGGTCCTTGCGTTACCCTCGGTGGTGGTGGTCTCCTGATCGAGATTCCTATACGAGTACTCGTCGCCATAGAAAAACTCGCCCGAATATTCACTCTCGTAGTTGACCCTCGACCGGTCGGAGAAGCGCGGCGGCGTTTGCGCCTCCGCCCGGTAAAGGGTCTCCAGGGCCAAGTGCCGGGGCACGGTGGCCAACGTCCTGTTAACGTCCGGGCGAGCTCTCAAGCCGAGTTTCTGCAGAATCTGATGTTTAATCGCCTCCAGCCTAAGATCGTCCGGGGTAAGCGCGGCAGTGTCCTTGAACATGCCGCCCCTCGCCGGGCCGTCGTGATGCACGTGATGATGATGGTGATGCTGTTGCTGCTGCGGCTGCTGATGCGGGCAACCGGGACACGTCTGATGATGGCCGCTGAGACGCGGCTGTACCGCCGGCAGGGCCAGGCAACAAAGCGCCAGTCCTATGAGCAGCAAATTGGACGGCAGCGAAGTACCGCCGTGGACGGTGCGCACCGGGCCCAGACAGTGCAGCGAGGACGCGCGGTTGTTCACGTCGGGCCCGGCGTCGTGCCGCCGTAATCGCTGCCGCGTCGTCGTTGTCGTCGTCGTCGTCGTCGTCGTCGTCGTCGCCGTCCGATCGACGGTCCCACTCGTCGTCCTCGTCGTCGTCGTCGTCGTCGTCGCCGACAATCGGCGTGTTCGGGCGCGCGCGCGTACGCGAACGCGGGCACGGGCGCGGGCGCGGGCGCGAGCGCGAGCGCGGGCACGAGCACGTACGCGAGCACGGGCACGACCGCGGGATCTAGGCTGCTGCTGCTCCCAGAGGATCCTATCGTCACGGCCTTTGCTTGAGGTGCCGCTGCGTCCGTAGGGCACCTGGTGCATCTCGACGGCGAGTCACCTCGTCCGCCCCCACCACCTCCGCCTCCTTCTTCTTTTACTTCGGTGCTCCCTTCTTTCCTTCTGTTCTTGATCCGATACCGGTACCCCGTGTGTCCTACCTGATGCGCGAAGAGGCTCCGGCTTCCTACCTCCTCGGGTATCGTTAGATTCCCCGTCGACGACGACGCTGACGTCGCTACCACCGACGCATCCGGTGCCGAAGAGCAGGAAGTCTCTCGCGCCGGTGAGGATCCTCCTCTGCTTGCCGTTAACGGGCTTGCTCGTTTCCACCTGCGGTGGTGCCGAGGGACTACGGGGACCACGACGACGACGACGACGATGGCGGTCACTGGGGACGACGGGACGACCTGGGACGGAACGGTACAACGACTCGACGGCGTAGGGGATGATGACAGCGCGTAGCGGTGACGACGACGACGGTGATGATGACGACAGAGAAGACAGGGAGAAGGCATCCTCGCCTAAACCCCCCATCACCAACTACCGGTTGCCGGCGCCTCAAGATCGATCTCACCCAAGCGATGGATCGCCGTAACCGACCGGTGGACGCCGCTCGTAATTTCGGCCATTCGCGCTCGCTTTGCTTCCGCGTACTCACGTTCACCCATAAACGCGTTTCCTCGTACGTACATATATAGATGTTTGTATATATATAATTGTAGATGTATATGTATTTCGCGCTATTCACGCTCTCTTTCCCTCCGTGCGTCTCCCTTTCCGCCGGACTCCTCCTGAACACCGTCCTTGAGCCGGCCTTCCGTTCGTTCGTGCGAGCTAATCCGAGCGGGTCGTTGAACTTGACTGTGTGTGCACGCTTCACTTCGCTACTCTAACCCCTTTTTCTTTCTCTCTTTCTCTCTCCTTCTCTCTTTATCTTTCCCCCTTTCTCCCTCGCTCTTCTTCTATTTCTCTCTCTTTCTTTTTTCCTCCCTGTCACGCCGGCTCCTCGGAACGAATGAAGCGGCGACGTCGCTCGCTATCGACTAGGGTCTTCTCGACTTTCTCGGGCACTTCCTATGTATACCTAACTCTTCACTACGGCTAAGATCCCCGGAATAATAATGCACCATTTAAAAGTCTGGCGTGGCTCCGTGTGCCGATGCTCCGACTACGGGCACACTCCGCCCGTAGCGACCCACGCGCTCTCGCGAGTACGGACCCCCGTGTCTCCCCTCCGGACGATCGTCAGGCGGCCGCTCGCGGTGGTCCACTCCTCCCGCGTGCGTAGGATCCTGCGGCACGTCGGTTAGCAGGACTCGTCGTGCCTGCCTGTCGCATGCGGCAAACGTCGCGGGCCCGTCCTGACCCGCGCCAATGACCCGCGCGAACCTGTCACCGCGAACCCCGTCACCGACAACGAGCACCGTAGCGTGGCCGAAGCTAATCGCATCCTTCCTCGTGCGACAGCGACAACCCGACCGAGGTGACGGTAATCCGCGTAATCCTACGTACACGATCGTAATCCCGTTCCGACTCCGGCTTCCTCGACGCGTTCTCCTCTTCCTCCTCCTTCTCCTCCTCCTCCTCTTCTTCTTCCTCCACCTGCAGCTGTTCCCACTTTGCCCACTCGCCGTTATTATCCTGGTCCGTCTCTTTGGCCGTCCCTCTGTTACGCGACGACGACAGGAAGTCAGCCGATGTCATCCGCGACGAACGCCGGGAGCGCGTTCATAGGATCCTCTTTTAACGACCGAAGCACGCTTGTCGGAGGCGCGCCGGACACTGAGGGGCAACCACCACCACTACCGATACCGGCACCACCACCGCCGTACCATTAGTGGCTGTGAGCCGGCATCAGGAACAGCAGCAGCAGTAGCAGCAGCCAGAAGCAGCACCAGCACCAGCGGTAGCCACCACCACCACTTCTACCACCACCACCACCACCACCACCACCACCACCACCACCGCCAACACCACCACTATCAACCACCCACTACCGTCGGCGAGCACAACCAACGAGATACTGTTCACCCACCCACCACGACATAGGTACTACAACGGCCGACTAAACTTCTCGATAACTTTATATAGGAGGTCCCTTATAACGCAATAGCTCTTCGTGATCCGCCGCTGGGATATTTAAAGACCTAGTGCGCATCGTATGTATATCGTAAATGCATGAGTGTAGGCTCGGCCCTTGATGATGATAGTGCGCGGGCGCGACTTCAGGATCGGATGATGATTTAAGAAGTCGAGGGCGAAAGAAAAAGAAGGAAAGAACGCCGTTGTACACGATTTAGTCGCATAGCACATTTACCATTCCCATTTTTATCACCTTTTAAAAGGACAATACTAAAAGAGAAAAAGAGAGAGGAGGGAGAGAAAAAGAAAGAGGAGAGAGAGAGAGAGAGAGAGAGAGAGAGAGAGAGAGAGAGAAACGAAGAGATCACTCGGAGTGATTACCACCACGTGACTGACGCGTGGTACCACGAACGATTCGCGCAGCATCGCAATGATTTCGGCGTCATTATTAGCAACGTCGACTGATCGCGAGAGAGGCGGCCGGTCGGCGAACTGGGACCACCTGTTAGGCGCCAGCGGTATATCACGGTGTGAAACTTCGCCGATGATAAGATAACGCTTAACAAGTGGAAACGGATGACCAATTTGTCCCACCCACGCGAGACATTTATTTCGGAATCCTCGGGAGCAAGGATCGCCATAGATCTTTACTTTCGTTCGCAAAAACGATACGCTCGCATATATTTGTAACCGTCGCCGATTATAATTGCCTCCTAAGAATGGAGAAAAATCGGACTACGAATTCCATTTGGAGAAAGACTTTTAGATTTAGTTGCAGCTATGGTATCTTCTTTGCAGTGCAGAAATTTCGATAGTTTCAGTCGTTCTTTAACACAAAAAAAAAATAGATTTATAGATCTGTTGGTTACAACTCTAACGATATTTACCATTGCCTCTTATTAATATATTTAAAATAATCGTATGGTAATTTTAGCGAATAAATGCGATTTTGAACATTTTTACCAAAAGATATAATATTTTTTTCAATTGATTATGACACGAAAGTAGTATCTCAAGAATACTTTTTTATTTAATTATCTATCGAATTTAGTTTTATAAGCAAGATTACTGATTTAGAGCTTTAAAGAAGAAAATTAGGAAACTTTTTTTAAATTGAAAAGCAGCACACGATGGTATAATTATCTTGATCAATCAAAGATAATTTTTGTGTAATCTCTTCATTTTTATCTGATATATTATACATTAAACGTACCGACTTAACATGTCGTGTATGTCGCGTAAAAAGTCGATCCTTCGATCGCGCCACAGGATTGCAGCGATCCCGTGGAAGAAGGGCGGCGACACGATTCCTCGGTTACCTTCGACACGCCAGATACCTCGGAGTCGCGGATAACGCATCGCATCGCATCACCGAAACGCCTGATCCGCCGCTCTCTCGCGACGGAGAGGCGCAAAAGAGAGACGCCGCGAGAGGAAAGGGATAGAAAGAGAGGCGAGGTAGCCGTAAGCATATTGATCAGGAGACAGTAGTTGGCCGCATGCCACGTGGTGATGCTACGAGAGGCGCCGGCCTCTCCACCTATTATGAGCCAAGGCTCCTATCTTCGCGTTTCTTCTTTTCCCCGCGGGTTTCATCCCCCCCGACGCCATCCGCCGTTGTCTTTCTCCCTTCCGTCCCCCCTCTCCCTCATGTGCCCGGTCTCCCCCTGTCCCCCTCGTCCCCCCCGTTCCTCCTACGATCCGACAGAGAGCCCTTTTAGCCCGCGTTATTTTACCCCGCTACCCGCTCTCTTTCTCTCTCTCCTGCGTGTACTTTATCTTCTTGTCTTCTCGGGACTTGTCTTTATTCCGAACGCGGCATCTAGAATGCGTACGTTCGCCGTGTACACATGTACGTTTACATGTGTAAATACATATACATATTTCGCTCGTATATACATATGCGAAAGGTGAATGCGTGTGGCCCGTTCTGGCGCTTATGCGAACGCCGCCACGCATGCGGGGCCCACCCTCAGCATCTTTTTATCTCTCTCTCTGTCTTTCTCTCTGTCTCTTTTCGCCTTCGAATCACCGCGACTTCTCGACTCCCGATCGAGAGCGTTAAAATTGAGACGTCAGCCTAACAAGCTCACTCGCATCGTTTGAGCCGCGGAGGACGTCTCCATTCTGTCTCCTCTCCCTCTCTGGCGAGCGAGCGATCTCCCTCAGCGGCAACCTTAAGAGACCAAGAAAAAAGTAAAAAAAAAAAAAAAATTAGATGGGGAGAAAAAGGAAAGATCAAAGGGGGTCCTGTTAAACGGCCGGCTCGGCACAGAGAGAAAGGAGACCGCCTTCTTGGGTGGCCACCGGTTCCTCTCGGTCAACCCCTTATCCCTATTATAGCGCGACCACGTCCTATAGTATCGTCACGTCGGTCTCTTGATCTCGCGAGATTGTGCCATGTGTTCTATCAAACGCGGGGTCGATAAGAAGGGATGTACTCGTATACCGACGTCGAGTAAACCGAACGGTTTATCCCGTGCAGGTTCCTCTGAAACGCTGATAACGTTCCATTGATAAACCACCGATAAACGGCGAACCAGTATCGAGCGATGCACATGCAGAATTCCTCTTTGAATCGAAAATTGAATACTTGCGATTTCTAATTAAATTAAATAATGTACACTTTTGTACTAAGTAAATTTGTTCGTGCACTTTTCAATTTATTTTTAATTGTATTTTAATAGCAAATTTGCATTATATATTTTAGATGTATAAAGATACGTTTGAAAGAAAAATATATATACATACATATAATGATGTTTAAGATAAATGAATAAACAATTTTATCCAGTTTTACAAAAATTAATCGTTTATATAAAACGAACTGCGCGTTTATGATTTCAAAATTATGGCTTTCTGACAATCTAGGTATGATAAACAATTTTAGATTATTTTCAGGATTTAATCGGAAGCAAACTCAAAATGTCGGATATGTTATCACTCAAATCTTTATTTTAACTTATTTTGACACTTATTTATTTTTGCAATTTTAGTAATCAGCGACATATATAATATATCTTTAGCAATCATATTAAAATCAGAAAATGACACACAGTGGTGTAAGATGGAGTTGCATTGCATTAACAAAGATAACTTTGAGTCTCGAGAATTCCCATTATAATCATAAAAAGTATAATTTCTTAATTTTCCGTTTCCGATATTTCCGTGATTTCGGTCGTTTGCCGATTAACTTTTTCAACATTGAAGCTCAAAATCATAAATGTAGCTTTATTTATTTCGCTGCAATCCAACGCCATCTTATAATGTACAGCGCGTATTTACGAATTAGAGTAGAAGATATAGGGAAGTTTAATTTTATTCCTTAATATATTGCAATCATCCCCTTTAATCGCACGAGACTCGCAATAATCGAAACGATAAAGCATGGTAGGATTATTGTCTGCGCAATAAGGAAAAAGGTTTGATTGATAGAAATTTTAATCCTTTCGATACTAGAACAAGTTTTTTTCGAGGAATGCTCGAAATATCCATTAGAATTTTAATGTACTAGGTATTTTCACATTTCTTTCGTACATAATAATTTTTTAATCACGTCAAAAAGTGATGGTATCGAAAAAATTAAACCAGAAAGAAAACCAGAGAGAAGAAAAGAATCGAGTAGGTTTGTGGAAGAACGTACAAGTGTTACATACAGACGTGCGTTAAATTACACTTCGAGACTAATACTAATCAATAATGGAAGACTGGTTTCGCCGAGAGAGTTTAGAAGTTTTTCGATAGAATATCGGTTCCCCTCATCGGCTCGTGAGCGCCTTATTAATCGTGGAAAAAGAGAGGAAAATATTCAGTTCGGCAAGTAGTACTCTCGCGGTATGTATTCCGGTTTCGGACTACTTGGCTCGATACCGAGTAATTCTCCCATGAAGGCGATGTACGTGATCGCTAGACGCAGCGTTTCTATTCTCGACAGTCGTTTCTCATAGGCGAACGTCGGTACCTAAACATGAAAAATAATCATTAAGAATTCGAAAACGGTAAGTTTTTGAAGATGATGATGAAAACTTTTGGACAGCAATATTTTCTTTAAATTCATCTATTTGTGTAACTTAATGTATATACAAAGTTTCACTAAAATCGCAATTAATTGACTTCGCGAGTTTCCTTGTAAGTACAAATTAATTAGAAATATTTTCAATAACTTAAATTTTATTTTTAAAATAAAAGCACGTACTTTCCTGCGGAGTTTGTCGAAGGCTTCATTCAGATTGAACATCCTGCGTCTCTCCCGGATATTCGCGGCTCTCCTCTGAGATACCGTCGCCACTCGACGTCTCGGTTTCTTTGTAGTCGACGACGGTAAATTCGGGGAACGGCCGTTTGGCGTGTAACGACTGAAAATTTCAGAATTTTATATATTTTATCACATGGCTGTAGTATGGTAATTAGTTAAGGACTTTTTACGCACGTTGATTCAACAAATGATTTCAAAAAATGATATTCTAATCGGATATGCAAAGAAAAAAAAGTAAAGGGACTTTTGGAAAGTGGAAAAAAGAAAGAATCATTAATTCTCGCATACATTTTGTTGTGGGCGTTTTTCCATGTGGAGCAGAAATAACTTTGCATCAGACCAAAGTTTTTTCCCGGGACGAAATTCGGAAGCTTGTTAAATGTTGGACGTTAAGTGTTCATAGATGTTCATGGGAATTACATGGGAGAATGACAACAAAACCACAACAAAACTCATGTAAGAATTAATAAATTTTCTTCTTTCAGATGTCCCTTTACCTTTTGACTTTTCCTCGTGGACAATTCCACAACCTTTGTGGAACGAATTACCTCTGGTGCAACAACGCGCAGGGTTGCCTGTATAATCCGTGCTCGTTCACGTGCGGATGAGCAGGCGGCTGCGTCTGATACAAAACAGAACTGTCCCACATTGGGTAGCTGGCGATCTCACCGCCGACGTACTGCGACATCTCCGCCGCGATTACCTGTTACGCGAATACAGATTTCGTTTGAGAGAATCGGTCGCGCGAGAATTTGGAAGACGTCTAACAGATTTATATAATTTTGCAAATCATTTAAAAAATATAACTACAAATATAATTATAAGTCTAAGTATTAGAATCGACCAAACAATTAAGATGAGCAAACTCCAACACGATATAAGCGGATCTTGATGTTTAATAAAATCCTGATGGTTGAGATAATATTTTTCGTAATAATTTTCACAGTTATTTTCACAGGATTTAAAAAGATGCTTAAGAGCATTGAATTAGTAGATTGCTTTGTTAATTTAATATTAATTAATATTAAATAATATGATATTACGTACTAGTTTGGAGTTGCGTTTTAAAAGACCGACGATTATATGGCGCGTATAGTTTGCTTGGAATGAGAATTGTAATATTTACATATAAATAAAGGAACAAGATCCACTTTGTACCGCGTTAGCGTCTACTCATTAATTTTAATTACAAATTTATTGAATTATAATTATATTTTACAACTGTATTATTATAAACATATTATTTTGAACGCGATGCAACATTCACGTGGAGCATGTTTAAAGACTTCTACGAACTTTGATTAAATCCTATTGAAATTTTTTTTTTTTCTAAATGTATATTTCCACATAATATTAAGATCGAATATTAATACTAACTGACATTAGTGATTTTTTTTTAAAAACATCACCAAATATCTTTTGGATTTTCGTGCTTTTTTTTTAAACGAAAATGCGCGCTTTAATGGAACAAAGGCGTGCTCATGCAAAAGCGGATTTTAGGGCGACTTGGACCAAACTTTGATTAATATACTCAGTCAATTAAAATCACTCTTAATCTTGGCTCATTTAATTAACTGTTAATTATGTATCCCATCAGGTCGCGATTGTAATTTGATGCTGTATATTTCATCATTATTAGGAATATGTTAATCATTCGACTTCAGTTATTGCAGGTGACGATTTTCGAATAATTTATAAGATAATTTATAATTTAATCACAGATAGGTCGCCAGCGAAAACGTGCCACTACCGATAACAATTGTTCGTCCCGTTTCTTGATATCACTAATAAATTGAAGATCGCGCCGGGGCGGGACTCGCCCGCGAAACTCACTGGTGCTTGATTTCCATTGATCTCCCACAGCGGTTCGGTGTAGCTCATATCCCGCTTCCTGTCCAGAATGGATACCACCAGCGTGCTTAGCTCACTCACTCACTCACTCAGAGGGTGGAAAAAAATTAAAAAAAAGGAGGGGGTGTTCGCGCGCGACGACACTTGGGTGAGAATGTTCTGCGACGTTTCGGGGCCCGAGCGTTTCGTTCTTCTGAGGACTCCGCCACCGGGATAGCGCATTTTCGGAAATTTCGCGAACACCCCCGGGGGTAAACCGCCCCTTTCGCGATTCCCGAATGCGCGCGGATCGCTCGCCACGAGACGCGTGCGCCGCGACGCAGCCACGACATTGGGGTCCCCTCGTACCCCTCGTACCCCCGTTGGGCGGTGCTTGCCACGACGCGGCCTACCGGTGCTGGGAGAGCTGATCTCGTGTATCGACCGGAAGATTGTAAGATGGACGCGATGGACAGGAAACCGAACGACGCAAAAATCAAGCTTTCAATCTGATGAATGGACATGTTATCTGGATTTATAAGTTTATATCAACACAAGGACAATATGTACAGTAAGAATTTTTTATTATTAGATTTTTTCATCTATTTGTAATGAGGATCATCGATTAATGAGAATCTCGGTAAATAATCGATTAATGAGAACCTTAGCTGAAAAAATCTATTGTATGTATGAGTAGCTAAATGACACATAAAAGAAAAGAAAGCATTAACGCATCTTATATTGATCTTATGTTGAATTTATATAATTTGTAATAAACAAATCAATCATTTGTATTCGATGTATTGGATTTTTTGTTACCCTTGTTGAAGATTTTTTTTTTAGGAAAATGATGTCATGAGAATCTGTAACTAGAGGAATTATGTAAAGAAATTAAGGAGTCCATTATCATATTTTAACAAAAGCTTGATTGATTAACTTTAATTTACATGGATGATGCGTTAACGAAATGACCGATTAAATTACGAGCTTACGAGAATATTAAAACTCGTTGTCCAAGAATTTTCAAATGATTCTAGTTTGATCTGTACAGGATATACTTTTATACTTTACGTAAATTTCCTACTTGCACACTAAATGGTTGTAATGGAGAAAAAAATAATTGCAACTATCATAATTTAATTATAATGTACAGTCATTTTCGGCGCCAACTGTATATTTGTTTGGTAGAACTATAATTATTATTACTAAAATTATAAGAGCAATAACTATAAAAATGGAACTCTAATCATAATTATTTTACTATGCAATTATAGTTTTAAAACACTTTTTTCTCAGTACAAATAATACAAATTTGTTTTTTCTTGAAAATTCCACTTACATACGTGCACATTAATTATTAATTTTGCTCCATTACATTTATAATAGATCATCATATTTAATATACATATTGAATAAAAGGAAAAAGTATTAAGAGATGTATTATAACCAAAATTAATATTGCAATGTATTATTAATTGACTATAATGATAATCAATATTTATCATTATTTAGTAATACAAGGTTTTGATATCAATTAATTTCTGTTTTTCTATATCGGTTTATCGCATTAGATCACTCTCTCGTCGCAACTGCTCGAGGGATTTCCGCAACGAATCTGCGTAATAAGCATCAGAAAAGTCTGGAAAGGTCCGTGACGAAATCCCGTAATTTCGCTTAGAGGCGTAACCCCGATGCGGGGTCGATGCATTGTTAGCGGCGCATCAAAATCGGATCGGACGAACACGTGCGAAATCCGGAGAACGGCTCGCTCCGTTTATCTTGTTTATTCCCGTGAATTCATCTGAAATTGTTCCGTTTTTGTACGATGTATGATGTAATACAGGATGCTGCGGGCCTGTACGAAATTTTAGGAAAATTTAGCATAAGTTGCTCCTTAAATAATATACGTAATTGCAATATTAATTTTGATTATATCTTTTTTGAATTTTTTTCCTATACTCCACGCATCACGTTAAATATTGTGTGCTCTATTAAAAATATAGTTAGTCTGTCTAATATGATAAATACAAAAATAGAGCTTTTGAGATAAATGAATAATTTCTCTCCGCAAAGTAAGTTTCAGAAGAGCGAATAATAAATAATAATACATAACAACAATATAATAACAAAATTTTAACAAGCAACATCATATAAGCTAGAACTAGAACTAGAAAGCGATGTTAAATCTCAATCTCTTTCTGAAGCGATTCTGTATAAATAAATATTTAAAGCAATTTTCATGAAAATTATAATAAAAAAAATATAGGAGCAAGAAACGAGAATTTATTAATTTTAATTTAGAGATATAATGTACAGAATTTAATAATGTCGACCTCTAATTTAATTTCTTGAGGATTATAATTTTCAGAAATTAATTTCTCTCAATATGAATTCCCGTCGATTCGGTTGGCCTGTTTCTCTTTTACAAAATGTGCGAATAAAATTTAATTTTCGCGTTTGATTTCATATACGTATCGCGTCGGTTGCTCCAGAAAATGACGGCGGAAAGAGCTGGAGCTTACCGGCGCCGACGCTCGGAACATCGATCCGGGGCGTCAGCTTGCAGTTATGTATATAGTTCATATTACGGGTAGAGGGTTGTATTAAACATCCACGTCGTTCTCTACTTGTGCCTACAATCCTACGGATACCGTTTATCAAATATTTTGAGCGATAATATTTTCTTGGCGCTTCGAACTCATCATATCTGTTTGTCGCGATATAAGAAAGAACAGGCCTATAATTATACACAATCGGTTCTGTTATGAAATGTTCAGAGTCAACACTTTTAGAATTTTAAGATGTATAAAAAACTTTTCTCTGTGATCCCGCATCGGGGTCACGCCTTTGTCTTCATTAAAATATAGAAATGTAAATAATATAATAAAACGTAACAGATTAATTTTCTTAGATTTTTAAAACTCGATCTAAGCAATGTTAGATTCTGTAAGTCTAGAAAGAAAATTCAATGATTTTTCTATTAAGAAGAGAGCAAATTTGCAAAATGTAGCTAAAAAAGAGTAAATTTTACTTACGCCAGTCTAAAAACATTCTTATTTCAAATATATAGCGAATGCTTTTAAATATTCAATCGACATTTATATATTTCGAAGTATATAGAGAGGTTTCTTAAATATATATTCTTAATATATTTCATTACTTCTTACAAAATAATTTTACATCAATATATTTTACATGAACGAAAATCTCTGCTATCAAGGCAATAAATCTATATACTCGAGACAAAAATTGAAAAACGATTTGTCGGCATCGCGCTATTGCGAGGCGAGAATACAGGGGATTTCGGGAGGGGGAGGGGGTGAAAATAATGTGACGGAGGGATAAATCATAAGCCACTCGCGCGACGTAATTAGAGCGTTTCTGGGATGCGGAAATATCGCGAGACGAAAGGGGGATGCGCCGGGGGATAACTAATAACTTTATGCAACCCCCCGTCGAAGCCACCCCCGTAGGGGTGGGGTAAACACGAGATCCGATTTGACACGCGGAAACGCGCGATGTTTATACGCGCTCGTTGTAAGGGTCGGTCACTCGCTCTCTTAGCTGCGTCAAGTGACACGGCTAATATCTATTTAATTGATTCAGGGACGGGACGTACCCCTCAGACCGCTCTCTCGCTCGCGAACAATATGCTGGCTGTCCCTCAAAAGGGCGCGCACGTGTCCGTCGAAACAGCAAATTGACTCTGCGCCGTCGGTTTGACGCGGAGCCAATTATAGACAGGAAGGATTATCAGAGACAATCGCCGTAAAATCGCCGATGAGACGGCTGCCGAGTTTATTTTTCCCCGCCTGTTATTTTTATGCAAAAAAGGAAATAAAAGATTTGGCAAGCTTTCTTCGGAATCACGCTCAGTCTAATTGTCAACTTAAGAAGACTAGGAAAAATAGACTCCTAAACGAACAAGTTCCTTTTCAGGTTGTTTTATTAAAACATTCGTAACATAGATATATATATTTACATACATATATTTCGCGTATCTATGAGCACGCAGTTTACTATTTTATAAGTACGACTAATTTGCAGTTAATAATTATTACATATTCTCTGTACTGGTTCGCAATATCGGAAGCCGCGCGTGTCAAGTGTCCATGAACACTTGGGATATTCGTTCGTGCAACTTCAAGCTTATATTTGTATCGTCTTAACCAGTATTTTCTTTGGCTCGGATAAAATCCTTCTCTCCAATATTTACCACTATACACGGGGGGGGGGGGGGAATGTAAGGAACGTAATGTCCTCCTACATACGCAGCCGTACGAAATAAGATGTCTAATGGATATTTTCGTTGTTATTCAACAGCGTTAGCTAGGGTATACATGAATTTTCAGTCTCTTTCGGTAACTTCAGGAATATCTGACTATTAATTTAAAAAACTAATGTAACGTATCTCGGTTGAAAAGAACAGAAAAAATGCAGTAAAGTACATTTTTACATTTCTTTCTAAGCTACATCTTTCCCGATCACACGTACTTTTTTCCTCCGCCCTTCTCTTCTTCTATTTAGTCATCCTTAAACTTAAGTGAAGCACACGTATAATGGCTATGTTTATCTACATAGCATTTGTACATCTGCGGTAATCTCTTTAGGAAAGAGGTAATCTTCTACGCGCGTAATTACGATTCACAGTCAATAGCGATGATCCTAAAGAATATTGCTGCGCGAAACGTTATTTGTTTAAGAATCTTAAAATAAGCGATCGAAAATGTATCGTCAATTCACTTAATTAAAATTGCTTATCAATTTCTTTTAAAACAGACCCTCACAAAAAATTATATTAATAATCTAAACATGTAAATATGTAAAATCAAAAACAAATTAAAGCGCGCAGATAATGATATGTAAGTAAAAGGATTTTATTTAAATTTTATTTAAAAGGATTAATTTTTCTCTCTCACTATTATCAGTCGAGCAATTCGTTGATCTTTTTGTTACAAAAGACTCATAACATTCTAAATCGCTTGCTACTTCATTTAGGGTGGTAAACTAACGTAATTATTCTATCTGTATTGATAAAATATATTCTTTTTAAGTCACAGAGCGAGAGATTAATCGCTTTCTAGAAATATCCTCCTCGAGCTAAAACAAGAATATATATCGTCTTTATTTGATTTAATATCTCATTTGTATAATCAGGGTTGGAAGGAGACGGGGTTTTTAAAAGTTCCGCTATTAGTTAAAACTCTCTCTCTAGTCGAACGACTCTGGTCCTGGTTGTTATACTTTTATCAGCCTTAGTGAGTAATGCTACGAAACATCAATATGACTGTCTTGCCCTCTGCTTAATACTTGCTGTATTTTAATACCTTTCTCACGCTAGGAAACTCTATCCTTCTAAAACTTTAGTAGCATAAAATGCTACGTAGTAAGAACAGACCTAATATCACGTGGGTGTCAAAAAACATCTCAGAGTAAATTAATTCGCGATCTAGTTCTTTTCCTCCTCTTTAACGTCGAAGCCCACGGTAACATTAGAGCTATCCGTGAGACTGCTGGCCACGGTGAGTATAGGTTCCTCCTCCTGCTGGCTCGTTCTCGAGGACTCCGCGCTCAGTTTCCAGCTTTCCAGATCCGCGTCCGACATGGTCGAGAACGAGCTCTGCCTCGTGTAGCTGTAAGTCGCCTCAGGATTCGGCGCGACCTGCTTCGGCGTCGTGACGCTCTGCGAGCGAGAGAAGTTCTTTCGCTTCGGCGAACTGACGTGCGAGCCGCCGCCGCTCTTTTTCGAGTCCCTCTTTGTCCTTTCCGCGACGGAAGATTTACCCGTGCTCGAGGTGTCGGATTTCTGAGAGGTAGAGAGTTTCGCTTTGTCGGAAGTACCGGCGTCCTTGTCGGTGTCCTTGATGTCCCTGATTCGCACGTCGCCGTGCGATATATCCGTGCTTTCCACCACGAAACTAAGGAGAAACAAATTTACGCCGCGATAAATATCGACACGTCACGCGATACATTGTTATATTTCGCGTTAAACCGCGTTTTTTTTTATCCGCCTACCGTCCGATCTTCTTGTAGCTGCCGCTTAATTTCGCGGGATTAACGTCGTCCCTCTGCTCGAATATCGATTTAAGGTCCTGCTTCTTTTGCTCCTCGCTCTGTTTCAAAGTCAACGTGTGATCCTCGTCTTCGTCGAGATTGTCGCAGGGAACGTCGTCGCCGCACACGAGCTTCGTCTGCGCGCCGCCGGCGCCCGACTGTATCACTTGCGGTATTTGCGTTATTTTGCGTATCTGGCCGTCCTCGTTGCTGTAATAATCCGTATATGAGACGCTGCCGCGACTCTCGCGATTCTCTTGATCGAGACGAATACAAAATTCGTTAAAGTCGACGTCCAGGCAAGAGGTCGGGGAGAATTTCGGCGCGATAAACAGTTGAGCACTGCGAACGGACAGATGTTATTTCTAGTGTTATTAACACTCAACGTACAAACGTAATAAGATATTAGAGAAAGAGAGAGATATGTAAGTAACAAAACAAAAGATACAACCACAAAAGACATATCTAGTAAATTCAGGATCACAGAATGCAAGTAAATCAGTTAATTAATCACATTAATTCAACATAAAAGGAGAGGAAGTATAAAGTTAGAAAGAAATAGATTAAATTTATAAAATCTCAATACATTTAAGACTCACCTCTCGTTGCTGATTAAACTTATAGACATACTGCATTCGCCGGTCGACGTTGGCGCAGGTGACGACGGCTCGGAGGACAGAAAAGACTGCGGCTCGCTACTCCATCCCGTGCCTGAGTAATGCATAGAAAAAATGATTTGAATAAAATTGATATTACCGTCACAGTTAGATAGGATACGCACTGTTCGGGCTAGTAGGTGACGGTAGATTCCCGGTATGACACGTTTCCGCTTCGCCGAGAGGCTTATACTGTATCGGTGTCGGCATAATGTACCTGTGCGAGGTGGCAATGTGATAATGCATTGGAGATCAAGCAATTGCAGCTCGCGTGCTCGAATTTTTAGCAATTATAAAATGATACTACACTAACGCGCGCTAAATGATTATTTAGATAATCAACGGAAAAGACATAGTACGGGGATGCAACACATTCGTCGGAATAAGTCTGGGAGAGTCCTTACTCGAGATAACGGGAAGCGGAGGGGAAGAACTCAATATACTCACGGTCGTGCTTTATGCAATCTCTTACGGTACCTGACAGCTTCCGCGTCGGAAGAGTGATACTCGCGACTGATCCCGGCGTGGACGAGGGGCGGATTCAGCGACTCGTGCGTCGATCCGGCCGGCGACGATTTGGGTGGCGACGAGGCCGGGGTCCTGTACAACGGCGCCGTGGTCATCATCTCCAGGAAGGAGTCCAGTTGACGTAGCGACAACGCGTTGTGCAGTGTTTCCAGCGGCCTGATGGGGGGCACCCCGCCGAAGCCTTCAATCGCTACAGAATAAATGTGCCAATTAGAGTCGTCCTTCATTATTTCAGCTTTCATTCCTATTCGATTTATTATGTTGGATAACTTATTATTATATCGGGACTTTCAGAATTTTAATTGTTTATCTGAATTGTTAGATTAATTATTATTAGATCATTCATGTTGTAGGAAGATAGATTGTCCGAATAAGATTTAATGCTTCAGTGATTTAATGTTTCAGTGGTTTTTATGCTGTTCGTTACGAAAGACTGATTATCCGAAATTATTTTGCTAAATGTTAAGTAAAATTATTGAGCGTTAGTTATCCGTATTATTCTATATTAATTAAACATATAATATACTTGCCGGCGACCGCAGACGCATGAGGTGGTACCATGTCCTTCAGGTTCGGCGCGCTCGAGGAGCCGCTTATCACGGCGGTGCTGAAGAGGCTGTTGGCCGAGCCAGTGAGTTTCTTGCTGACACTGTAGCCCAGCAGCTTGAAATAACTCATCTGTCCGGAGATACTGTGACGGTGGCGCCTTGCTGTGCAGGTAGGATCAGGTTGAATGATCCGCGATCGCGTGTCTAGGGGTGGAGAAGAGGAATGAGGCCTGGATAGACGGGGGGGGGGCGGACGGACGGCGGGGGGGGGGACTCAGACGTTGATAGACACTCCGGACAGTGATGATGATTTAGTCTCGGTGGATCGGTATCGATGGTAGTGATAACGGTGAAAGTTTGTTATGTAAGTAGCACGTCCTCATTTAAAGCCGGCAGAGATTCGGCTGAAGCTCTAGATTCTATCACGACATACTCGTGCTCGTGCTCGTGCCTCGTGCCCGTGCTTGCGTTTGTGCTCGTGTTTTCAGAGGTGAGAAGAGGGACATTAATAATCAGAAAGAGACGACAGAGCAATAACGAGCAAAGCGAATCGGTGAGCATAATAGGACTATTCCCACAAATATTAATTATCGCGCTTGTCATCAACTGATCCTCTTTCTGAAGGCAGATTTTAAAAGGAGACAGAAGATCGATCGAGTCTCGTATGAACCTCGATTAGTGGGAATAATCCATATTAGGAAACAAAAACTGGCGTTGGTCTTCCTTTGAAAAAGAACATCAAATAAAAATCAGCAAAACATTATATTAATAAAGAATTAAAACTTTGCGAATGCTGAATTGCTTTGTTGCACTAATTACGTTGCAGTGAATATAGTCTCTTGATTATTTCTCTTTTTTTTTTTTATTAAATTCTGATCTCCTTTATTCGCCGCGTTATATGACTTCTTTGTCAAGAAATAAAAATTGTACAATTTCGGACAAATCCGGAATACGGAGAGGGGGAAACAATGCGGTAAATCATGTAGGATCAATTTCGCATTGATCTCGTGAACCGAGCAGGTTTCCGGCATCTGACATTGAGGTCGCAGAAACTCCGGAGTAGCGCGGGGAAAAGAAGTAACCCAGGTCGCGTCCGACCTGTGTGTCAATGCCAATTAGAGTTCGCACGCGGAGAAATCATCAACGAAAAGAGAGGACGAAACGTTATACATCTGAAACTTACTGATCTGTTACTTACTGATTTTAAAGAACGAAGACGAGTGCCAATCGCCTGCACCGGGTGAAATAACGCTATTTCCTTTTTTTTTTTATATTACGAACAAAATTCTCACATTGACATCGATACCAGGACTGGACCAGGGTTTCTTCCGCGCCGCCACCCAGACGTGCGACGGTCTCTCCGTCAGTCCCGCGTGACGTGTCTGTCGTGTTTTACCCCCTGAACTCACCGCACAGTTCGACGGATGAGAGCAAGGTCACTTCGGAGTGCGAGCGTTCGTACTTTCTGCCGCGGCCACGGTACCCGGTGGTAGTCCGCACTGGTGGCAGGCCGCTGACGGTCGCGTACGACGACGACGGATCGGGCAACGAGCAAGGGTTGGCGGATAGCTGTCTATCGTTGCGCGCATTGCGAAGCGAGCACGAGGAAGCGAAGCTCTCGTCCGACGAGACCGGTAGCTCCGGCGAGCTGTGCGACTGCAGCAGCGTCGCCGACTTCCACGTGTGTTTCTCGTCGCGGGATTCCTCCGGCGTTGACCCCGCGGCTAATAGCGAGTTGCGTTGCGTTGCGTTGCGGTGCGGTGCGTTGCGATGCGGTGCGGTGCGTGGAGAGGGTGCGAAATGCGCAGGCATATAGATCCAGATGTGATAGCGTTATCAGAAGGAGAACGACGGGGTACGACGGTGCAGCATTCGGTATGACGGTGTAGTGAGAGGAAGGGGAGAGAAAAGAAAACAAAAGAGAGAAAGAGCCGATTAAAAAACCCATTTGCTAAAGAACTGGACAGGGACGAATCTTTGGATCGCGATCTCGCGATAAGAAAAAAAAATCGAGCATTATCCAGTGATCAACGTAAAGAACGATGGTACACTTCGCGATATACACACTTCGCGCTTTTCTCGTGTACGTATTACGGAAATTGTGAATTAAAAAATTATATGTATAATAAAGAATAAAATAATTTCTGTAACGTGTATAAGATTCGTTAGCATAAAGAAACCTTAAAATCTGTTACATTATAACGATTATTACAATATAAGTAAATATATACTATATTATATTCTGGATAAAAAATATATGGAAAATAATTTAATGATAATCTCTGAATTTAACGATAATCCCGTGTCATTAAATAAATGATATACTTTGACGCTTGGAAAGATTACGAATGTTACATTTTAGTCGCTTCGGCGTTTAAAGATTCGTCGAGGAAGAAACAAAGTAAATTATAAGGATAGAAATATACCTTCGACCCTTTGCACAATAGTTTAGCGAGTATGTCGGATTCACGAGAGTACGCACACCATACAACCGTGACACACGATAGCCATGCAACCAGTAAGCCAACCAAATCACACACGACTTCTCACACATGTAGACAAGCCTCGTACATTGATCTTTGTTAGGAATGCCGAAGCTCGTGTACGGCATTAGTATACGATCGATGATATAGCGGAAAGATAGACGGTGCTTCTCTTGGTCCGAGTCCCTTTTTTTTTCCTTTTGACTATCGTTATGAATTATACATGGAGTGAAGAGGAGAAACAACATGAAGACGTTACATGCTTCGCGAGCTGCCTATTTCGAAGGTAATCATTAGGCTCAACGCGATCGATGAAAGTGGCGACGATGAAGGATGAAAATGACGATGACGATGATGAGTCGACATGAGATGAAATGCGAACACAATAACAAAAAGAAGCTGTGAAGTAATCGATGAGCGTCAAGTATCGTTTGAAAAATTCGGATGAACACTTCGGATAAACGATGTGCGATGAACGATGTGTGAGCGAATGCGCATGGAGCTTCGAGAAGCTCCTCGAGGGAGGGCCGATGGTGAATGAAGACGTTTTTTTTTTTTGCGAGTATCTCGTGGGGATGATGTTCTCAGGATCGAGGATTCGAGGGGGTGGGCAGCTGAATGGACCACACTACACTGACGTGCGCGTGTGTGTGTGTGTGGCCCAGACAGCCGCCGAGACTTGATTAGTTGGCTTCCACGCGCACAACTATCGCTGAGCAAAGAGTTATTTCAACTGGAATCCACCTCCTACTCTGGCAAAATACACATCTCTCGGCTGTACTACATGAAACAAGACACATTAGACTCTTCCGGACAGATCGCCCCACCCGGATAAATCAACCAGACCGCCGCATCTCGTCCGGTGTGTTCTGGAGATCCAGCCATTAAAAAAAAAAGGCGTACTAGTCCTTTTTCTCGTCTATATAGTACGTGCAACTCGTAAAACTGATTAAAGTAAAAAAAAAAAAATAACGAAATCAACACGAATGCAACTCGCAGCATTTCGTGAAAAATTAACTCGGGCAAAATATACAAGATATTAATTCACTGAGGAAGAGGATAAGACTAATGCTAGAGATCGTAGCTATCACTGAGGTACAGGATATACAAGGTATAGGACGTGACAGTCTAGGCAATTACTTTAATCAGCAATTTGCAGTACCGATGCGGATGTGCATAAGCGCATTCCGGGTACTGATATCGGTATTCAACAACTATGCACATTCTAATTGCAACGAAAGATCCGCGGAATTTGTCTGCTTTACGTGAGAGAATTGCGCTACGTTTAACATGAGATTTCATCATCGCGTAACTGTGCGATGCCGATCGAATGAAATTATTTCATTGCAACATGTGCATAAAAGTTTCTACGGGTATTAAAAAAAAAAGGACATATATCGTATTCAAAGAAAATTAAATATATGTACGTGGACGGATCTACTCGATTACGGTAAAAAATAGGAAGGATACGAAAAGTATCATCACGAAAATTTACGTGTGCAATTATTTTTGAAAAATCATTCTGTAAAAAATTGATAGCCGATAAACACGTACCTTCCTTGTTGACCGCGTCCAAGCTCTGATACTGCAGCTTGTCCGCAGCTACAAAAAGAGAACAGTAGAACACAGAAGGGGGGGACACATTGTGGCGACATTCCACCATCAATTCAATTGCCAGTAATTAGCCCCTAAAAGCTCTAACATCCCGGTGCCTTTAACGTTAATATAATATTATACCTAGTATATATTAAACGTCAAACGTTTGCGCGCGTTTCTACAAACCGGCATATTCTTCGAAGAGAAGAGAGGAACATCCTTTTACCGTACTATCGTTATTGCCCACGATTTAAGTTCTATTCATCTACATGCGACATTTCGTAAAAATGATATAAATACCAAATCTCTGCTCTTATTTAGATAACAAAAAATATCGGATCTATAAATTTAACAGCGCGAAATTTAGAAACAAATGCACCAATATATCTTTAGAACCTTTCGTAAATATCAGAAATATTTCTAATTTCGTATTGTAAAAATTGCACGATAATTCGTATCAAGCTATCGATTCATTGAGTTAAAATATCGAATAAACACGATTTAAATCTCGATGTATCATTCGTTAATCACTACTTATGCAAGGGAAAATGGGATTTATCGTGATAAAAATATATAATTCCGTGATGTGAAGCTACTGTAATAATTTGGGAGGGAGGATATATAGCATTCATTATATAGCATTCTATAACTATTGATAATTGTTAATGCCATTAAAGTGGTGTATAAATATTGTAAAGAAGACCAATAATAATCAATAACTCTAATCATGCACAAACCATTAAACGTGTTAAGGATACCGTACACGTCTTACATACGCATACCCGTATACCCGTGTATATGTACGTATATATTCACGCACATACACAGCAGGTATAGATCGGCTTGTTAATATTTACATCTTCGTCAAATATCGCTCGCATTCATCGGCGACATCCTTCACACTTACTTCATCGTAAATCTGCTCACCGATACGATAAACTTGCGTGTCAACTTGCGCACTTACCTTTCTCGGGTTTTTCTTGCCGCTGATGGTCGTAGCTTCGCGCGCGCGGTTCCACGATGCTCCCCACCTCCCTGCTTCGCCGTTGTCGCTGACTCGCCGCCAGTTGGCTGCTAAGTCTCGCAGCTTCATGTCCAGCCACGGTTCTGGCGCTGCACACACACACACACACACATGGTATCGTAAGTTAATGAAACTTCCGTTCTTCACACATTATTTTATCGGGATGATAAACGTTTTCGTGGATAAAGTGCTCAACGCAAATCGGAGCATAAGCAAGTAGTAGACCTGATGGGAATCGGTGCCGAGCTCTGCAAAAATCCGCTATCGTACGGTTCGTCCATCATATTCGGATCCAAATCCATCATGTCGATCCCACGGCTGGTCGTTGGACTGTCCAACATGGAGTCCACAGTGTCCGTTTCGGTTAATGGCGGGGGCGTATCCTGAAAGTAAATTTTTGTCTATCGTATAACTCCATTGAGAACGAACTGGCTCGAAAACAGAATATACATTTAAAAGTTTACCAAAACTTACTTTAACTATGCGATCTATAAGCAAACTGGTACTCACAGCTTGCGCCGTGGTATTTAGATCATCCTCGATAATACCCAATTCCGCATCTTCCTCCTCTATGCGGGTGCTACATTGTGAACTGGTGTCCTGACCAGACCCACCGCTCTCCCCCTTTAAAGGAAGAGATCGGTAAAAATTCATTCATTTGCATTGCGATTAGCTAGATTATTGCGAACAATTTCAAAGTCTCACCACGTTATGACTGCTCTCATTGCGCGAGTGCGGTCTGAATCCGGGACCAGGCGGCAAGTTCTTCTGCACGCAACAGTTAACGCCGGGACTGAAGTGCAGCTCAACATGAAAGCGCTCCTCGCTGCATGGATCCTTGGTCGGGTCCTCGTACAACATAACGACAATTTGCGACATGTAGTTCAACTCGGAGACCATACTGACGTATTCCATTGCGCGCCGCCACTGCTCATCTTTCACCATCTGTAGATCGATTTACAAAAAATCAGAAAACAAGACAGTAGATTATTTTTTTCCAGCCGTAGCGTCAGACGTGCCACTTACGTCGAGTAAACCACCATAACGTAACACGGTCAGCAAGGAATGTACATGACTCTCGCTTGTGAAGTACAGCCTCGTACGTACGTGGCGTCCCGGACTCGAGACACCGTGGGAATATCTATGGATCATTAATAATTATATTATATAGCTATTATAATGATTATTAAAATTATTAGTATTATTTTTAAATAGCTATTATAATGATTATAGCTATTTAAAAAAATGTCAAGTCGTTAAAGAGGAAAGCTCTTTAAAAGTAAAACTCAATTGTTACCTAGGATTAAGCCTATTAACAGTCTCCTCAGATTCCTCGATATTTCGTTGTAGATCAGCCCTTATTTTCTTCAATAAAGGCGTGCATATACCCTGACCGATAGTCAGTTTCTCTTGTACCGTCAAACCATATTCCTGCGCATAAATATACAACGTAATTTACAGAAGGGAAAATAAGATGTCGATAGGATTAGCGGCGAGCAGAAATCTGTACCTGAGGTATTACTATGTCCGCCAGAGACTTAGCGTACGTGTACAACTCTTCCGCGTGTTCGAACTGCAACGTATGATTGTTGTGCTGCAGGTCGTATTTTATGCAATCGTAAATATCGGGAATTTTAGATATGTCGAAACGTTTGTTCTTCGTGCAAAAGTCCTTTTCTATCTTTCCCCAGCGACGACCCATCAGCTCCCACGTTTCGCCGTGATAGAGTATCGTGTCCTTCGTCTTCGGATCCTCCTTCTTGATTCGCACGATGTCCAGGAGCTTCTGGATGAGCGTGTGAACGTGCTGGCAGCACCTGACCGGGTTCTTGACGCAGTCCAAAGCGGCGTTGATGCTAAGCGCGTTTCCCGGATTGATCTGCTCACGATCCTCCCGGGTGAATTCTCTGTCCTGCTGCAGCAGCTCGTGCAAGCGCGTTTTTACCCTTTACAATTCGTACATACCGTATGTAGATTACAATTACAAGAAAGACGTACAATTGAGACGTACAATGAAGATCCGACTCACATATTCTGATATTTGCTACTGTCGCAATCGTTGTCCAGAAGGCCATTGGTATTCGCGCTTTTCACCATCTGCACCAGGATAGGCGTCAGCTCTCCCTCCAGCGCGAGCAGTCCCTTCGCGAAGGCCGCCGCGGTCATTTGAACGCGTCCCTCGTCGCTGGCGTAGATCTTCAAGTCGTGGCGAAACGTGGAGTGCAGGCGTAACAAACCCAATCCTTGCGCACCTGCGTATTCACCTACGTTTACACAAGGGGGAATAATATCAACACAACGACGGGATCCCTCGTGACAACAGCTATCGTAAAATCATAGAACACAACGACAACGGAACAATTTAAGAGATTAACTCCAAAAAAAAAACCAGTTGTCGAGATGACCTATGCTCTAGTATCGAGATCATCGTGATATCGTGAAAAGATGCATTAATCGGGATTAATTAATATTAATTAACATTGTATGTCGTAATACACAACGCCGGAATGTACTGCAGTAGTTTTTCATGTCTCTAAATGTTTTAGAGTTACCTTAAAACTCCTCTGTTGGTAAATTTAATGGAAAATTACATTTCGACGAAGACATATATTGTACAAAGAGATTACGTGCATAACATTTTGTATCCATATATAAAAATATATATACTTTCTTCAACATGTAGTTGTAGTGCCGTTAAAAACAAAATTAACGGAAAAAACGTTACATTAGCATAGAAAAAGCGTGTGGCGAGAGGTAAGTGTGTGATGTACGCTAAACAACCATGCTGCTCCCAAGTCGCCGACGACGACGGCCGAGTCACGGCCGGGTCGAGCTCGGGCCACTCGGGAGCTCGTTCAAATAAAGAGATACAAAGTGCAGGTGTGCAAGTGTACTCTCTTACTGTCAGCGCCGTCGACCGATATTTAACATCGCTATTTCTAAGGACAGCAATACAATCTACTGTAAACTATGGAATAAGCGTGGATCGTAAATAAAAGGTTACCGTGGTTTGGTAACATCTCTGATTCTTCCTCTGAAATAACATTTGAGATAAATTATCCTATATGTGACACTCGAGAGCGTGATATTATTACATCTCTACTAATTAACTAACAGTTAAGATATGATTGCCAATATGGTTTTGTTAGTGCCACAGTGGTTGCTACACTGGCAATTACTCTCGCATAAATTCTCATTACATTAATTATCTTTACGCTTTTTTACGTCTCTAAATAACAAGATATTGTGATGTAAATCATTGTGAGAATACAATTCAATGCAATCTCAGTACGCCAATCTCTCTAAGCCGTCCAATAATTTCGCAACTTGTACAATATAGCATTCTCAAAAGATACAAGAGATAATTAAGCATATATATTGAAAGCCTGCAAGGCTTTCGGATCACGTAGTTCGTATATATATTCACGGGTAAACCCAGAGATCAGGGTTTAGCTAATAGAGGGAAATTATTATATAACGATCTTCGATACTGTGTAGAAACTTAAAAGCGGGCATGGCAAGCATATGAACATAAGATACGAACCACTAAGGTGTCTACCTTGACCACCGGGGTACATGCAGCGGAATATGCGTCCCAATTCCTCCGCCTGAATACGTCCGGCCGGCGTCAGTTCTCCGCCCCATTTCAATATCAGAACGAGAGACGGCTCCCCTAGTCGGTCTGAGAAAGAGAAAAAGTTGAAGAGGTACGCGCATTTCATATACACAATTTTCTAAAATATATCCATTGAATATATTATATGTATATAAATATATTCAATATATATAGATATGTATGGATATCCATTAAGTACACATCCTTAAAAATGTATACATGTATATTATATGAAATAGTGAGAAAGTAAACGAAGCATACTAAGATCGCTACCGTCGTCGGAAGAACTTCCCCGCGGTCGTCCTCGCGGTTGATACTTTAATTGGACTTTGCGATTTATGCCAGAGAAATGTCCATACCTGCGGTACAGAGTTAATAATCTTATTATCAAATTTATCGCATTTTATACTCAACTATATAACATTAATAATAATCGTTATATAGTATATAATTAATTTAATTCATTAAAGTACTATTTTTCTTTTGCTTATTGCCACATACATTTCTAAGACACTCTTGAGTTGCTCCAATTTCCCTTGTTTTTCTTCCAACTCGGGTCCCGCCGCTCGATGCTGTATTTCCGCTAGTAAACTACGCGCTGTATCGAGAATCTCTTGCAGTTGTTTAGGCCGTTTTAGCTTGACATGTCCGTGCTTGTAGCCATCGTACTTTGCAAATATCTCAAAAAATCTGTAAAATATATATATTAATTTATGATGTTCTTCAATGAAAGAAAATATGTAAAATCTTGTTTACTCACTTCGGATGACGCACTTCTACTTTCATCTTCTGCTTTGGGGTTCTGTCACCATGCCTAATAACTGCCACGACACAGCGCAATTCCATCCTACGTAAATATCGAAGTAGTTAGTAAATTGAGAAATGCTTCAATATAAAAACACAATTGTAATTGCGATTAGACTAACATTTTGCCAAACGTGGTTGGCACGATAGGAGGATCGTCCAGTTGGAAGGGAACGCTCCACGGAATATGCAACGTTGGAGCCAGTTCCCTAAGTATCATATTCCCCAAGATCTTGGCACAGTCATCGTAATACTTGTTCGAGTTCTTTACAAAACTAAATCCGTTCACGTCGCACACGAACGACTGGCCGTTTGCCCTGTAATCAGAATCATGCTCGCTGTATTAATTGTTACTTGACTTTCGTAAACCGCGATACATTCACGCCCGTGTCAGTGCCTGTATCCCGACTGAAGCCAGTTCACATTGAATGTGTAACGCGATACGCGCTCTAAAATAACATTGATAACCACGTCGGCAATTGTATTACGTCGATGCGTGATGTACCGCGTCTTAATAATGTCATACAGATACGCTCAAAATAAATTTTACGTGAGAAATGCTTTAACGGACATGTCATTGTTCATAAAAAAAAAAAAATTATCGAAAAAGCAGACCTAATTTCTTATATACTGGTTGCATTTCATGTAAATGTACGATACACATACCTTAGTAAATCGAAGCCGCACACCGTTTGCTTGAAGGCCAAACATACCTTCCTGCTAATGAGTTTCTCGGCGTTGTTCAATATCACCGGATAACGTATTTCCTTGCCCTCCGAATCTCTCTCGACTTTGCCGTCCAGAGCGGGGCTCTTCCTCGCCTCGGCGTGAGCGTAATCAGGCCCCACGGTGTAAACTTTAACGTCGGTGCCATCGGTAGGCATAAAATCTTCATAGATATAAGAGCCGCTCTTGCGTACGCGAGATTCTGGAGAATATACGCTACTACGGCTACCTATCTGTAATGAAGCAATGTCATTGTAAGTATTTTTAACTTTTTTCCATTCACTTCCTAAAAATCGTGTGCAAGGAATCACACTGATTTCGGAAAAGAAAATTTATATACCTTTCTAAATAATCTCTGACTTCCACCGCCAGCCGAAGTAGGATAGTAAATATAGATATTATGATCTTCGGCGGATACTGGTTTTTCCACGAATGGTTTGTTGAAAGTAACACCGTTCACCTCCACGTGATCCTCCGACTCCACCAATTCGTGCTCTGAAATGCAATTTATATTCTCTATGTGTAAAGATTAAACAGACAAGTGGCACACGAGTGAGTTCTCTAAACTCTCATTTGAACACGCCATGGCAGTTTGATTTCAAAACTGGATCGCGGAGGATTTAAGTACTTACGATGTGTTTGCGAACAGTGCAAATAAACTCACGTTTCGGATCCGGTGAATCTCTGTCGAGAACGGCATACCGCGGAATTTCGATGCCCTCGCTTTCCAGTATAGCATAAACTCTTCTTCGGTCCTACGGCAAAATTTGCATTAATACGTAGAGAAGATATACGCGATAGAAAAATATAAATATTTCGTGATATTTTTTTTAAGGTTTTACATACCTGAATATCGTACTGCATCGGGAGATGATTGATGATAAACGGTTTACGTAAATTCGCATAACTTATAGCTTTATCAAGGGGAAAGCCTTTACTGTGGAAACTTATTAAGCAGTCGACTATAGGCCAGTCTTCTACAGGTTCCTATAAACGAGCAAAGTGCAAAAAGATATAAATTTTGTAGTAAAAATATTACTATATTATAGCTCCATAAAACGTATAAAAAAATATATATATATATAAAATATATATTACCTTCAATATCACTTCTTCTGGGAAGACGACAATTTTTATGTACTCGAATTCCTCGAGCCTTGTTAAAATCTCTTTCATCGGTTTACTCTGAGACTTCTTCGCCATTGCGCATATCCCAACCAGGACTTGCTTTCCCTCTCCTTCCACATCACTCCCGCCCATATAAGCATCATCTTGCGTGCCGTCTGATAATTCGGGCTAGAAGGCAAAACACACGATAAGTACCAATTACTCAAGAGGATATATCGTGAATGCAAGTCACATCTCGATATACAACACTCGCAATATACTAATAAACAGAAAAAAAAATAATAGACATTCCAATGAAACTTATATACATGTATAATACAAAATTAAATTCACTACCACACACATTTTTTTTTTGGTTTTGAAAAATTAGTGATAGATCAAGGTGGTGGAACGTTACAGCCTGACTTTTTATACGATATATTTTCTAAAAATGAACGTGACTTCTAAACTCCGCTATATAACAAGCAGTGATGAAGATCGTAAAGTCTTCAAGCTAAATAGTGCTCACCCAGTATGACTTTAGGCAGGATAGAAATCTAGGCTTGTCGTCAGCAGGACAATTTTCATCGCGAACTCTCGTAAGATTACTCATTATACTCTTTAGTTTGTGTATCTTTTGATAAGTAAGTTATACGTCGATCGCATATGTTATTGCCTACATAGAAAGGTAATACATATCAAGCAACAAAGCGTGTGAAATATGTGTAAATTTGAAGATGAAAAATCACGCTATCTTTAAAATTCGTGATTCATATATGAAGTTATCATTCACCTACACGTTTAGTTATATTTTCACTTATATGTATATTCCGTTCATTCCGCTTTATTCCATTACTATTTTATTACGATCCGGGGATCAACGAGAAATGCAATACCAGTCATGCAGCAACAAGCAAATCGAAGCACGAGCGTTTGTTAATCACTGCAATGAAAGATTTAGAAAAGGTGTGAGATTAATGTAAGTTATAATAATGTGAAAGAAAGAAAGAAAAAGGATAAAGAGCAAGCTGAAGAAAATACAATGGGAATCTATCTTCATTTCCTATCGTTTATATGAGAATTCAAGATAATAAATAAATAGAAAAAGTGATGGTAAATTTTTATACGATTAGTGATATCTGATAAGTTATCAGAATTACAGAAAAACTACAACTACCTGTTACGTTAAATTGAAAAATATAAAAAATCTTTACCATTATGTGCAATCATATATCTCTTGTTTTTTAATTATAATGGATAGCTATTCCTATTCTCTATGGAGTTAATCTTTAAACACGTTCTTATCAGAGTATTACAATTAGATTACAGAGTATTACATAATTCGTTATAAATATAACGTTATATATAACTACACACATACACACACACACACACACGCACTTTTTTTTACCTTGGAAGTAAAATTCATTGTTACGTATCTTCGAGAATTAAAGACTCCATAAACTCTGGTGTCTTCTGTTCTGATAATGAGCAATGATTTAATTGATACTGTTCCAATATCGGTCACTCGATGTGCGATACTACAGTTAATCGTGTCACACGAGATAGAAAGATAAAGGAACGATTATCAAACTCCTACTCTCAAGTCAATGTCACTTGAGCATTATCACTGTAACTTTTAGGATTCAGACACATACTCTTGACAGCACTGTTCATGCACCTTCAAAATAATGATATGACAGTACAGTATGACGTTAAAATTCGTAGTCATTTAATTTAGATGATATTCTAATAATACGTGCGTGCTGTTAGAGTCTACCTAAACTGCATTCATACACTGTTAAACTTAACGAGCAGCGAATACCTTCTGAATAAAGACTAGAGCTCGCAGGCAGCAGTTGCCATAATGTTATCAAGCACTGTTAGAGGCAATTTGTAATTCGGTCAATATTAGCACTGCTATAATTGGCCGGCGATGAATGTTAACAAATGTATTTCTACCATACACACACACGCACACACACACACACACATACACATACAAACGGAACGGTTAAATGTTTGCGTTGCACGTGCACTGATAGAAAATCCAAACTGCAGTATATCGCATGCGTACCATTCGAATAACGTGTCTTATAATGAGATAAATCCCTGTCTGGCCAAACATCGTGGAGAAAGAGAAAAAAAGCACGGGATCCTATACTCGCCTATACCGATCGCGCGTTTTCGTACACCTCACCACACGGAAATATTTATTAATAATCGCGTGTCGCGAATGCTCGCGTACGATTTGACTTGATATCTACAAAACGGTATTAATTACGTAATGAGGACGTATATCTCTCGGACTGTCTACGTAGGACCAGCAAATTAACCGGATCACAACGAGAGCTTCAAACATTTACTCAGCACCTCTGTTTACGTATCAATTGTTTACATAACTGACTCGCACATTTCCGCGCGTTGCAAAGGGCAAGTATACTGTAAATAAGGGGACGGCGCTCGCGTGTATTTTTAAGTACGTGAGAAAATAAATCTACATACATTGCATATTCCTAATGTATACCTATATATATAGATTTCTAACCTCCGACTGAAAACGTGTACCGCCAGCTCTCTTTTTCTAAACAGCCGCTTTACAACGTGCGCGTCTGTCGCTCTTTTATGACACAAACACGAGAGAAAAAGGCGGAAATGGAGCAACGTTGCTGTCTCTGTCGACCTCAAGTCAATCCGAATTCTTGAATAACACACAATCGATTGTCACATACAAAGAGACACGTGGCTCTGTTCGCGCGTCTCTTGCTACTCCTCTCACTGTTTCTGTGATACGTCATCAGATACAGATCGCGGCTTCGTGCGATTAGCAACTTGGATGCACGCTCGAGAAAATCATTCACATGTACAACAAAAAGAAGATTTAAAAAATGAAGAAAAACACTTGGTTCGCATTTGAATTCAAAAACTTCGTACGTGTGCTTTGATTATAGGAAACTGAGGGACAAATCTCAAACTGTGCCTCGTGCAACGTATCGCAGACGCTTGCAACCAGTGTGCGGTTTTTTTTTTTCAACGACAGTAAAATCATCGTCCCGAACTTACTCTTTTCGACGAGCGGTAGAGCGAGGGAATAACAGACGGCTGCACTGTATTTATGTCCCCTATGTAGAACATCGGTCTGCTCGCATTCCTGAGACCCTGCAGGAACAAAATCTCGGTTAAACTGAACGTCGCTGATCATCTTCGAACGGCTAATAAAGACAATTTACTTGGTAACCATGTTCCAGTTCAGTGTAAGACATGTCAGACCCGGTCTCATTGATAAGATATAAACAACCTGTGTTTTCACGTGCTCTTTATGTCAGACTTAACGTCGTCCCGTGCTGACTGAAACTGCCATATTATCTCGCGTTAATCAGACGTCAATGTCGGTTGAAATCGTACAGGGAAAAACAGCTAGGTGCGGGAGAGACACTACTTGGTGTGCAAGCTACATAATTGCAAGCGAAACTTGTCTTGCTCTCTCAATCTTACGGGTTCCTCTCTCTCTCTCACGAGCCAGAACTAGCGTTTTTTTTTTCGGTCTCCAGTCCGCAATTTACAACGCAGTACGGACGTTTACAGGAACGTTCCCTCCTCGAGCGAGACGACGTTCGCGACGTTGCGTGTTGTTTTCCCAGCGAGCTGCAATGGAAATCAAATGTTTGTCGGGGGGCGAGACAGAGAGACGTATGTAACGTGTTTGCACCGCATATCCACCGCGAGATAACCGCGTTTGCAACACCCGGCTGATCGCAAACAGCGGCGTACAGTCGCGGTGTGTGGGCGGTACACCTTATACATTTGCCTTCGGGGTTGCCCGCGATTCGATCATCAACGTGCCGCTGTACTACGCACGTAGGAGCGGCGCGGCGGTGACAGCAAGTGCGCGCCATGCGAACTCGCCGACGTACTTATTTGCGCGGGGAACTCGCAGAAGGCAAATCGCGGAGCGGTACTTACCGTACGCCCGCCACGGGAACGCGACAATTACGGCCCGCACGTGACTCGCAACGTGACACGTACGACGACTCCGGCTGACTCGCGACCACTCGCGGCTACTCTCCGGGCCGTTTTGAATTCGCGTCTCTCTCTCTCTCTCTCTGTTGACGTCGCACGGATCGTCGTCGGGTCGGCGGCGGCATGTGCCACCCACGAGATCGAATCTTGACGCACAGCGGTGTTTCCTCCCCCCGGAAGGCGGAATCTCTCGCGCATGTGCCACCTCACCTCACCTCACCTCGACGCGCGAGAGGCGAGCTTGAAGGCCGCGAGATCGGAAAACGTTCGAACGTCACAACCAGAGTTTTGTTCTGCGCGCAGCTGAACTTTTGTATCTCCTCGTCTTTTCATTCCTTTTCTCGTTTTCCATTTTTCATTTAAAAAGATTATAAAAAAGGATAACACACAACGCAGCTGCAAGGAACAAATTCAAAATATTCTTTAGAGATCTGGTCTTTACAATATTATTGGATTAGTGTGGTCTTTATAATATTATCCAATTATAACATTGGATTCGTAATTTTCATGTTTTTTCTTTTCAATTATTTCATTTTAATTAGTAAAAATCTAACATAGTAAAGCAAATCTAAAATTTTACAAATAGTAATCATGAAATCTGAATGAATTTAGGAATTTTGAGTAAATAATGATAGAATTGCGGTTTACTTGGAAGACTCCGTGTGGGAACGATGGACGCATAATTGACAGGTTTCATATCCGATCCTCCTACATAATAAATATTTAATTTGTAATCTGTGTAAGACAGATCCCTGGCTCTCTTCAAGATAGGAGTTGTGGACAATGGTTGGACAGTGGAAAGAATGGTTGGACAATAACTTAATAATCCATTTCCGATTAATTTTATAATCGTTACTGGCTAACTCCATAATTTTTAAAATTGTTTCAGTAAGCTTATCCTTTACCAGTCATCACTTGATTGTCATTTTATTCTGCATAAAGATCTTCACCAGATCTAAGTATCTAAAAACGAAATTCTTTCAATCGTTTCACACTTAAATAAACAAGCTGTATCATTTTATTTTTTGTTTTTTTTTTTGAAAAATTAAATACTCTAAACCCATCAAATTGAGGAAGATCTAACTATAGTTGTGAAATTATAGGATTAATTTACTTTATTTGCATACGTAGTACATAATGTATTGCGTTTTGACTTACAATCTGTGATAATGAAAACAATTATATTTTAAATTTCATAATACATACTACTGTAACAAAATTAGTAAACAAAAATTACAAAAATATTTCACATTCTACGATATAAAATTTACTTTAGACAAAATCAAAGGAGACACGCTCGTTGAACTAAATGACATGTGCTTTGATATATATATATATATATATATAT